TTACAATGTGTATATCGATATTACAAACTAATGAGAATGCTGCAGTGAGTTTAATGCGAGATATTAGTTCAGAATTGTGTTTAATCATAATATATACCGAACACACAGCACCATGCATATATGTGATTGTTTTCAAACACGTGATACGAGTAATTATCACGTTCCACGTCCCAGAGACACTGGAAGGCCGTATGCATACTTTGTTGGAAGCGTTGGATTATGTATACTTGCGTCACTATCTTGTATCTAGTCGCAAATATAATCGTGTCTCACAAACTAAACAAATATTCTTAGTCACGGCTTATCGGGCTGGATCATACGCCTAATAATAATTTTTTTTGCTCTTATACAATTAATTTTACATAATTTTGCATAATCATTATTAAACTCTCGTTCGGTCACCGTAAATGTTGATATTTATTTATATACATCGTTAACTATTTGTTTGGCAAAGATAATGGTATTTCATCCAACACGTAAAAGGAATAAATTAGATAGACATTTCGATGACTTGAATACAATAGCGACTCATGTCATCTTTTAGAATGTGAAAAATGAAGGATATTTGTTAATTTTTATAAAAGATTACAATATATATATATATATATATATACTGTGATCTTTTATAAAAATTAACAAGTATCCCTCATTTTTATGAATATATGATATATATATATATATTCATAAAATGATATATATATATATAGGAGGATGAGGAAAGTGAGACGGAAATAAGCAGGGAAAAGTGGAATTCAATCTGAAATAAATTTCCATAATTTCAATACCTGTCGTAATCCTTTTTGCAGACAGCCTTCAGCACGTCGCTGGCAATTTCCAAACACAATTTTGATGTCTGATCTGGCTGGTATGATGTAATCGCCGATAATTTGATCTCCATTACGTCACGAATGATCTTGTCGACCGCCACTGCGTGAAAAGCTCTAAACGGTTCTAGACGATAGGTGTTCTGATATTTCGGGATCTGATCAGACATTAAGAAACGCTGTACCAATATTGTCCACAAGGGCGGAACTTAACGCGACAATAAATCAGGGGAAAGATTCAACGACAATAAATGGCCGTGGAAACGGCTATACCATATTATAAGAAGATGCCGGTTGAAGAATCATATAAGTAAAATATGGAAAAGACATACTTAATGAGATAAAATTTCAAAGTTGTATGAAAATTTTGGTACAGTTAATCACAAACTTTTCCAAAAATTATTGAGCAAAATTTTTATCTCGTTTCCTTTTTTTTTTTTGAAAAATCTCGTTACAGGGCGATTCGCTTGGCGCATCGAGATTCACCTATATTAAAACTTGTTCATTTTCTGCGCTCATTCAATTTATTTGCGTTCATCCAATTTATTCCACCGCGCTGGATGGAGAACATACCTTAAGTCGATCTCGCTTGTGAAAGAGTGTGCCGGCTCCATTGAAACCAATCATGGAAAGCTTCGACAGCGTTTTTCTCTTGGTTTGGTTCTGTATCCGGAAATAAGAAACACGTACCATTTTAGATCCCATGGCGATACTTCGTAATGCTCGATATAACGCTCGACAAGAAGAAAAAAATACATATAAAAGCGGTTTCGCATAAATTTCTTACATCCCTCTGATTGATTCGAATATTTATAGCGCCCACTTTTGCGCATCTCAGAATATTAAATCGATATGGAATACATATTGTATATTAAAAAGCAGGGAACAAAAATAAGATGGATGCATCAGCATGAATATTATTTTCAGAGTCGACACTTTTAGTTGTCAATTAAATTTCGAATCAAGAAAAATTAATAATACTTTTAGCATCTATCTATAATAGATGTATTGTCTTTGACAAATATATATGATATTTAATTAAAAATTACTAACCTGACATAACCATACTTTTTTATTACTTTTGCATACATTTGATCACGTGTTTACCTCTAAATCCATTGGCATTTTTACATTCAATTTTTGGACCAGAATCTGCCATAATTTATTCTTTGGTATCGGCACCGAAGCGTCTTGTTTATTCTGGTATTTACTCATTTTAAGTAGTCTCCAGTGACAGGTGACATAAATGAATTGTGCTCTAGAGGAGGAATCGTTGCGAACGACGGCATGGAACAAAGGACGCTCATCAAAAGAATTTCAGCCGCGTTGCTGAAAGGAGGAAATTATTGCAATCTCCGTTCTTAGTTTCGCGAGCAATTTCGGCAAATAATTACGTGCGCTACGCCGCCATAAATCCTGCCGCAGAAACGTCCGCGCGTAATCTACGACGTTCAAATAGGACTGTGACAGAATTTCTAAACGTTCTCTGCTGGACGATCCTTTAATTTTTTAAATGTTTAATCCAAAGATGGAACAACCGGTTCTAAATGATAATTAAGTTTAAAGCAGGGTCTAATTAATTACGATAATCCCCCCTAAATTAATTCGATTAGTTATAACAATAAAAACTATTATTTTTGGTTATATTTTTATTTAAAAATTTTGTTATTTGAGATTTTTTTATTATATTTGTGTTTATTATTTACTTTACATAACAACAATGATAATAGTGCTGAGTTCTGTGCCGGGCAGTATCGTTCTCTGGTGTAACAGGCATTCTTGCAAGTCTCACTCTTCGACTGTCCGGACGGGACCATTAAATATTGGATCGAGATCGATATCGAGCGAGTTCGGCATCGTTGTGCATCGACACGGTTTGTCAATTGCAGATGATCCCACACCACAAACGAACCGCGTTTATCCGACGCTTGTGCCATTGCAAACACTGCGATCGATATAAGAGGAGTTACGCCCTCGAGCTTTGCTAAGCTTTGAATGGTAGAACGTTAAGTACTTCCTTTGACAAACTAAAGGAAATTTACCTACCCTCTCGGCTCAACTATGCTGAAAACACCTCGCTGGGGATTTATTTAGTAATCGCTGCAATATTCATATACTTTAACGAATCATGAACACAAGGTAAACGCAAAACGCGTCTTTTCCCGAGCGACTTTCATGATCGATGCAGCGCGACAAACGGTTCGATTCAACAGAAATCACGGTACTGTGACGCGTGATAAAAAGCGAGAGATCTCGTCGAGAGAGTTTCGTTGTTGGGAACGCTGACCACTAATGAAATCATTAATGCCATCGTGATTATAATTTGCATTACAACGACGTCATTATTACCGTAGGTTATCATAAACCAAAGCTATTACAAAACGGTGTCGACGATGATATCGTCATTACTACTTCATGGTACTTTACTTTAGCGCCGTATAATGATTTTAGTTAACTGTAATTTTCTTTCAACTTTTTCTGGGGCTACTCATACTGCTTGTGCATACAGACGTGAAATAAAAGCGAATGAGCCGTCCAACGAAAAAGTTTGGAATTTTACTTTTTTCGATTTTGTTCTTCTATTTTTCTTTTTTTTTTTTTAACTGGACTCGGTAAAAGCAGAAGAGGATTGGATAAACAATCGACAGAATTTCCTGAACGATCAGCAGTTACGCGGCTAACTTTCACGAACGTGTCACAGAAACTCGTTGGCTAACTCGATAAAACTCTGGTCTCTTACCGTACAAGCATCTAATGCAGCAGCAACTGCCCGATTTAGTTTCTTAGCGAAATTCTTAGACGGTCGACCCCAAAACTTTCTTCTCTTGCTTTACCGCGTATTTGACATCTGCAGATAATGCTACTGTCCTGCGAAGAATCGAAAAATCAGTGCACGTTGCGGAAAGATATGACAGTATTTACTTCCCCTGAGATGTTAGATCGATCGTTAAGCGATCCGCGAAACTAAACCGAAGCAAATGTTTTAGAAGAAATTAAATTGTCTAACACGATTTGGAAGATTTGCTATTTGTGACGTTTTCAAGCAGACACTCGCCAGCTACTCGGCGGCCGATTTGAAATCGATATTTTCTCAGTGAGAAGATTGAATCCAACGTAATCCTCCTCGCAGCTGTTCAGTTCGAAGCGTTAAGTATTTTTGTGACTAAGCTTTGCACGCTCACAATGCTAATCTTTCTCGCGCAGATCTCCGAGGCGATCCATTGTGCTATTTTTGGCAACGATTCGGAGACTATTATATGCGGAGCCTAGATTCTGTGAATCGGACGGCGAAAAGAACAGTCATGAATTTTCTTTTCCGTTTCTTTATAAACGTGTCTTGCATCCCATCCCACCCTATTCTATTCTTTTATATTGTATACAATCTCGCGGACACGCCACATACGTCCTCTCGCTTATAAGGTTTCGACCATGGGCGAAACTCCTCAATAAAGGCTGCATTTGCGTGTATAGTGCATTCCACGAATAATTCAACTTGCTTGGCGTGGTTTATACGGTTCACGTACCACTTTGCAAGCCGAATCGCGAGCGCCAAACTACGTTGTTATTGATTAAACTTCGACGCAAACTGTGAAATAAGTACCAAAAGAGTTTCTCTAATCCGGAACCTCCTTTAGCTATTTACCTTTTCAATATGCATATTCCTTAGTCTCCTTACGCCATGATTGTTCTTAGAGTGTAAAGAGTTAAGAATAGAATATATAAGTGTCGGAGATGTGGAAACGCGATAGAGCGGTGTCGCAACATCAATTACACGAGGCTCGCGGCGATGGGTTTTTCGCGGCTTTTGCGGAACCACCGGTGCGCCAGGATTTTCCACGGAAATATCCGAGAAAATTGCTTTGCGCTCAAAAGCTTCACGCGATTATGGCGTAAACTCATTCATTAGGGCGATACTCGCGTGGGCGATAGCTCAAGCGCGTTCAAAAATTTGATCATCCAACCTAACTCGGGCGATCTCACATAACTCTCTTGCTGAGATGGAACTCGCTCTGAGACCATGTTACACCGACATCGTGACGTTTTCTGGCTGTTCGCAGCAAAAGACGAAAATTTGCAAACGAAGTTTACGAAACGCTACACAGTTGCAAACCTCTCGTTCCAATCCGGATATTTTATTTGAAAATCTTTTTCGAATCTCTTTCCAAAACACTTCTTTATATCTTATTGTGTATAACTTTTATCACAAATTTGTTATGGCATATTTTTATATTACATTCGATTGTTTATAAAAAAAAAATCAATCGTATTACGCATTAAAATATCACGAAATTCCTGATTCGGCATTAATCGAATGACAAACCTTTCCGTTTTCATTTACATAGATAACGATCTGTCATCTTTTAATATCTCAAATATCCATTATCATACAATTGAAAATTAAATTTTAATAAATATTTGTTTGAATAGTTTTAAAGAAATATTTGCTAAATATAAACATATACATTTGTTTGATGCAAAAGCCATTAATTTGATTTTACTATCATTTTTTTATTAAATAAATATTAATTTACTTAGGTAAATATTAATTTACTTAGTACTATTCATAGAAATATTAAGATTTATTAAATTTTTTTCAACGTCGTGAAGCTATTTCAATTTTTTCTTCTTTTTTTATAATTTAGCAAAATGTATATTTTAAGTACAGGTTTAGCATGACACTCTACGATGAAGCTTACGCTTCTCGCCAGATTTTTTTTCTCCCCGGAAAGCAGAATAAGATATCGTAAACAGAATAAGAGACCACGACGAGGACGGTTCGATAGAGCAAGTGGTAGAGATCGACGTTACGTCCGCCATGAATTTGCATCGAACGGCGACTACGCTTCGCTGCGGGACGCCTAACAGATGCTCCCTCGCGCGATTTACATAAAATGAGACCGGACAGGATCAGGCAGCTCCCGTGGCGAGCTCGGACTAGAAAAGCTCCCCGGTGGTCGAATCAGATTCCCGGAGAAAGCTCACCGTTCCATTATCGGCGCAGGTAACGGCGATTCTGGGATTCTCCAGTGCACCGTCGAATAAGAAGGGCAACGCGTTAACCCTTTGACCTGGCGCGGCGCGGCGAATGCACGTCACGCGCGTGCTTTTACGGATTATGCTTTTCCGATTCCTGCACTTAACGCCAGGATGCCCGTTGGCACGGTTTTATATTGGGTCGTTAAGTCTAGCGAGATACCTCGCGACAATTTACAACTTTAAGCCTGGGACAATTGTACTTCGCCGTGGCGCGGCGCTTCTAGACATAATTACGCAAATTATGTACATCCGTAATTTTCTCTTTCAATTTTATTAGACCACGACGACAAAGGAATAAATCGATTTCGACGAGCTCGGCTGGAAGTGCGTTAAGAGATAGTTTGAGAGATCAACTTTCTATAATAATTTATTATTGAATTTATGATTAAATTTCTTAAATTTATAATATTATATGATTATTGACACTGTCCCTCTCTTGACTTGCTCGGCACGTTTTATCTTTGCACGAATGAATTCTCAGTCGCAGTAGATCATAATCAGGAGATGATAATAATGATTTACATAAACAGACAAATTGTGTAACTTCAAAAGATTTATTACATTACATACACATTACATTCGTACTGACATCTCGAGCAGGGTATTCTATAGCGATCGTTACAGAGTCCAAAGAGTCCGAGCCAATGAAAATCCGTCAAACAAATGATTCCGAATTAGCATCAACGCATGTCACGTGAAACGTCCATAGGAAAGAGAGAAAGAGAGAGAGAGAGAGAGAGAGAGAGAGAGAGAGAGAGAAAAGAACAACTCGGCTTTACTGCAATGATACGCCGCGCCGCCGGATACACCAGTGTCATTGATCCCTCTCCATCGTAGCGTGCATTCATGCGGTCGCCTCAGGGAGTGAATTCGGGAGGAATTCGCAAGAGATTGGTGGCATGTCGCTCACCGGAACATCGTATCGACGAGGAAAATCAGGATGAGTAGAACAAGTCTCCTATTTACATCACCGGTGCCGCCGTGTTGCATCGCAGCTGGATGTTCCCCTGAAAAAGAGAATTATACCGGACGACTAAGGTGTCTCTTTTGTGTCGCTTCCTGGGATCTTTACGCGTTTCAATCTCGTCGATCCTTCTCGGATGTTCACTAACGAACATTAAATTTATTAACGACTCGTCGCAAAGTAGCAGCACGGAAAAAAATGAAGAACACTTCACGCGGAAAGATCCTCGAGGGTTTAAGAGAATCGTTGGCCGTCGTCCCAAAAGAGAGAGAGAGAGAGAGAGAAACGAGAAAAATTAATTATTTACAGATTAGTCATCTCTCTTGTTATCAAATATCAAAAAATATCAAAATCGTTGGATAATTTGAGTCCCGTAATATATCCACTATTTATTGTCGCAACGAATGAGCAAATAAACTATTATTGAATGTCGTATAATTGAAAACGTTTCTCTCTCTATCGCAATATCTAAACAATTGCTGTAGAGATAATTAATATTTTAATATATAAACCGCATTATTTGTATCAAATATATCAATATAATGAATAGAAAGAGAGAAAAATAGAGAGAGAGAGAAAGAGAGAGAGAGAGAGAGAGAGAGAGAGAGAGAGAGAGAGAGAGAGAGAGAGAGAGAGAGAGAGAGAGGAGAAATCTGGGAGATTGCGAGTGCGAATTAAAACAAATGTATGTCCTTATCGCGAAACGCGCTCGGGGAGTAATTTCGCAATGTAGTACATTACGCTTTTCCCTCGCTCGATCGCAAAGCGGCGCGGTGGAGAATTTCAAAATGAGCCGTCGCAATCCCCCCGTTGCAACCCCCACCTCCGCTATACCGATATTGCTACCGGTATTTTGCTCACCGTTTAGCACGTGCACCATGACGCTCGCCGGAGTGACTTTGCTCGAAGCGCATGTATAATTACCGCTATCGTTAAGTTGAGCACGCGTTATTAGGAGCTTGCTGGTGGTACCACGTTTACCCTTCTCTGTCTCCAGCGATACGCCACCCCTGTCGAAACGTAACACGTAAGAGCGTTACTTCCGAAAACTGACTTGCGAAAGTTTCATCAAAATCCACATTTGTGTGTGTGTGTGTGTGTGTGTGTGTGTGTGCGCGCGCGTGTGTGTGTGCGCGCGCGTGTGTGTGTGCGCGCGCGTGTGTGTGTGCGCGCGTGTGTGTGTATGCGCGCGCGCTTGTACATGGTTTACTTCGCGTTTATCTCGACGTCTGACGCAGATCGCATCATCCCGTTTCGCCAATCCGACGTCAATTCAAAATTTTCCGATCGACCATTAAAATTCACTCGCTATATCGGCATCAGTGTAACAACGATTCTTGAAGAATAGAAATAATCAGAATTGGCGCAAACTGTCGAATTTAATTGTAAGTAATTTACTAGTACGACGTACATGGTTTTGCGTGCGAACAGAAGCGATTTCGAAAGCGACGCGATGGGAGAGATTACTCCGATTAGATACGATTGTTCGTTCCACCACGATATTAGTGCCATTCGAGCGACGATTCCATCAGCTAATTGTGTATTTCACAAAGGTATAATCACCGAGTGTTTCCGACTGTACCTTGGACCATCGAAATCGATCACCGCACCGCCGTGATACCAGGTCACATTGCTCGGAGGCAGATCCTGTAGTTCTATAGTGCAGGTCAAGCTGATTGTGCTGCCCTTCCTGATGTATAACTCCTGGGAAGGCGTGATCCTTGCCTGTATATCTGATAGAAACAGCAATAACGACGAGAAGAGGAGAAGAATGAAAAATCGAAGCAAAGCGCATCGCTTGCGCTCTCGCGATTGGCTTTATTACACTCGAGAAACGATACACGCGAGATTGTATTACTGTCCACGTCGGATTCTACCTTGGAAAATGGATTCTATTTTATTTCGAAAAGCTCAGCGAATCATCGTCGACATGGTCATTGTCGACGATTCACGAGAGAGACGTGATCACTGTAGGATCGTAGGATGATCAGAAAGGGAAGGGGGGGGGAGGGAGGGAGACAAGTTAAAACAATTGGTTCCCACCGGCCGGGCCGGCCGGGACGCGAACGAAAGACGCCCGGGGAGATCTTTAAGCGCGATTTATGGGTCTCGCGAAGACGCGCGCGCCTCGCCTCTCTTGCCTCTCGTAAGGAAACTCACCCAAAACCTTCAGTTCCACGGCTCTATATATCTTCGGTTCTGTATTAACCTGACACTCGTAAATGTCGGCGTCCCGCGGTTGCACGTAATCTATTCGCAGATTCCAGTCGTCGGTCTCCGGATTGCCGACTACCGTAAATCTTGCGTCGCTCGTGTAAGTCACCGACATGGACGTCAGGATGTGTAGGTCCCTTTTTCGGATCCAAGATACCTGGTCACATACACACGCGCGAGATGCCACGAATGAGGCGCAGGTAATTGCAGTTTGCCCTCAACCCCTTCGCTGCTTCTACTGCTGTTGCTGTTGCTGCTGCTACTGCTGCTGTTGCTGCTACTGATTCAACCCGTCCACACGCTCGTTACCTTCCTTACCTCGCATTATAATGAAGTTTTCCGTCGATCTTGTCGAGACTCGAGAGAATTAGAGATACAAAGACGTAATTAACAAGTCCGAGGAAATTTGCATTCCTTTCTAAACATTTGGAAACGTTAGAAAAATGAAGGATTCTAGAGTTGGGAAATTGTACAGAACTACAAAGAAACGAATACTCGTCCTTTTTAGATAGTATAGTTGTCGTAAAGGTGATTCATTCTAAAGAAGGGCGTCCCAAGTGATAAGAATATCGATTTCGATTTGGCACCGGTTCATGAATAAGAAAATGCTGAGGCTTTCACTTTTTTCAGACGTATCCTCTCCTATTCTTTTCCCGTAAAAAAGTTACGACGAATTATCGTTGAACGCAAAGAAATCCCGTTTTTAAAACTGTATCGAATCTAAATGAACACTCTAATGAACACGTTACACTTGATTTGCCAGCAGCGAAGGGGTTGCGCGAGCACATTAAATTATTGCAAACACGCGAGATCAATGAGATCAAGCAGTGCTCTAATGAGACTCACAGTTCTGTTTCCTAGATTTTTAACACGACATAATAGAACGGCGGCCTGTCCTATGGCCACCGTTAATTTTTGCGGCGTGTCTTTGAAAAAATAGGTCTTCTTTGGGCCGCGCTGCGACTTTTCCCCTTTGCCGAACGTGTCGTCGTTGAGATGAAAGAGTGCTGAAATAGATATAAATTGTGTTGATATCCTATTATTCTTCTCCAGTAACATTCTTTCGTAGGAAAGAATTATAGAGTGCAGTTTAAAAAAATGAACTCGAGGTCTCTGATAAAAAATATCTGAATGTTTTCAATACGGAATATTGATGCATGAACAGTTTATTTTACATACATTTACACATTCGTAGATAATCATTTTTAAAAAATACAATTAATATTAAATAACCACGTTATATTAGATAATTAAATAAAAATCACAGATTTTACGTACATATTTAATTTGGCTTGCTTCTTTATTTATTTAATATATTTCAAAATTTTAATATCTTTAACGGAAAATAACATGCATAAATATATTTTGTGACGAATTTATATTATTCTTGATATGTATAATAATATGATAGTAAGAACATCAAGTTTAAGTGACTTTGAAAAGCAAAACAGTGATTTAATAGTGACTTGAGAAATTAATAATATTACTATTGTTGTTTTATGAGCTCACAATATATTATACTATTCTTGTGAAAGAAAACACTAAACTATGTTAAAACTATGTTAAAAAACAGAAATTGAAAAAATATATTTAAATAAATAATCTTTGTAATAATTTTTATTTTTTAATCATAATTTTTCATTTAAATTTCATTTTCTCTAAAAAAGAACTGTTAATTATATTCTCTACCAGATACAATTTTTTGTTAAAAATTATAGACTCTTCAATCGCTTTAATTGTTAATTTCTCTTCTAACTTCAAAAAAGACATATATACTTATTAACTATTGAAAATAAAATACTTATAACTCTCGAAAGTATAATCTTGAATTGCTAATTGTGATTAATTAATTTCCTATTTTTGTCTGTACTACAAAACCCAAAGATGGAAAAAAATAAAAAAAAAATTTTAAATACAAAATTAAAAGAAAACATGAAATATAGAATAAGAATTATAAAATTATACAGAATTAAATATAATTTCAGCGAATTTCAGTTCATTTATGCAAGCTTTCTTTCCGCGGCTAAAATTAATTTAAAAATTAAATATAAAAGAGTTCTTTTGTTATACTTTTATTTTAAGGAGGCTGAATAAAAAATTTAACTTTGTGAAATCAAATTTTTATTAAATTTGGATAGTTTTATTTTGTTCTGAAATATATTACGAACAGCATATTTCGATTTTATCCTCTTAGCCCAACAGCGGGAAAAATTCAATAATAAAAATGATTTACACCACTCTCTCGGTGCACTCTCTTCGCGCGACCGAAATTACTTGGAGTACAACTGAAATTACGTGGCGTAGCAGAGAGCTGCGGACACAAAAGGGTGTCGGGACCGGAAGAGAGTTCTCTGGAAATGGAAGGAGTGAAGGGGTCGGGGTGGAAGCACGGGACATTTACCGATGCCGCGTTCGCTGTGAAGTGGTTCCGCGTGTAACAGGTATCCGATTCCCAGGAGCAGCAGGGCCATGCCGTGGAACGGGGCCATCTTTCACTTCGCGCACATCTCTCGATCTAATTCACGCGCCACGCCGTTCCGCGTCCGATAGCGACCTGCCCACTACCGTCCGATCCGAATGATCGCTCTCTATTCGCGGCCCTTTTGGTGAGTGAAACACCCGCGGGATCACACCGATCGTTGGCATAATGCCGTCACTGCCTCTCGTATCGATGTGTCCTCGCTTTTCACATTACCGCGAACCGAGATCGTTTTCACCGTTCTCGCAAGATCGGAAGATCGTCCCCATAATTATAGCCGGTCTCTTACGTTTTTTAAAAATTCAGAATTTAATTTGATTGGAAATTATTGTTGTTCAAAATTATATTAAAAACAAAAACGTAGCAGTCTTCAGAGATCGCTTAATTAAATAACAATCGCTAACGACACGCTCGTCCTTTCGATCGTCCACGCGACTCAACGCGACTCGAGCGCGATCGCACGGAGCGTTTAAGCGGTCAGGGGTAGTGCGACACGGTTGCGGGCCGAGCACTGAATTTCGCTCCTCGCGGGGGATGGGAAAAAGCTCGGAAATCCTGCCACGGTGGCGCCGTGCCCGTTCCATCAGGGCACGTGCGATTGCGCCGAGAGGTCCCCGGCATCGGATGCGATCTCTCTTAATCGGCGAGACGTATTTATCCCGGCGCAGCGCGGCGACCGCGCGCGACTCCCAAAGTCCCGAGTCCCGCGACAACGCGGCCGTAAGTTATCACGATTTACCGGAGCGATCGACATACATACACACATCTCACCCCGAAACGCCGAGCTTCTATCTTACCTATCTTTTCTATCCATTCGCAAAGCGTTCACGGATAAAGCGATTTACGGTGTATTCGCTATTTTTCTAAAGCAATCTCCTCTTGCGCATAAATAAGAAAATAAAGAGGAACGAATATACACACAAGAAAGCTCCTTTCTCTTGTATATTAACAATACAATTAACAATTTCGATACAATCTTTCAACAACGTAACAATATTCTTAAAAAAATATAAATATAAATATATGAATATTTGTAACTTGTAATATAAGATAACTCTTAGTAGAACCCGCTTACCAACCTCTTTATACTTTCTTCAACGAGCGCTTTCATCCCCGAACGGTAATATTAAATACTTATTAAAAGCCGCAAGTCGGAAGATAGTTCTGCAGGTACAACACACCATCATACAAGCACCATCGTATTTTATTCTCTCTTATTATACTCTGCTCCTAATTTCTCTTCTGCGGCTTTCACAACAATGCGTATGAATTGTTTACATGTTTCTAACATTTCATAATATTTGTATGATAAATTATTCTTTTTGTTTAAACAAATATATTTGTTTAAACAAAAAGAATAATTTATTTAAATCTACAAAACGCATCTTCTATTCATATAAATGTAATGTCTATTCGTATAATAATATATTTGATTATTAATATATTTGATCTGATTCTGCTATAATTATCATTTTTCTATTTAAGACTTTTTTCACTTACATTTAAAATCTAATAATTAAAATTTAATTTAATTTTAATTTTAAATTTTTTAATATAATTAAAATCTTTAAATTGTGTAAGAAAAAAATTATAGAGGAAAAGATTATTAACTGTTTCGTTAGGACATCAATCAATAAAACATCAATCAATAAAACGCTAAAATTATCATGATTTTCATTATTATGCGTAACAAGGCTGCGTTCAGTTTGAACACTCACGCGCTTATAATCCATTTTATCTTTATCGTTCATTAGATGTAAAACAAAGATAGAAGCGTTGAAAGCATCCAAACCGAATATAGTCCAAATAATATTTTATATCTTTACACTAATCATAGATATACAATTATAAAAATATTCGAATTAAAAATTGACAATATGCAAGATTTAGTAATGCTTTCATTGACATTATATATACATACATAAAAAATATAATTATCCCTCCCTTATCATATAAAATATATATAAAATTTTAATAATTTTGTGCATATAATAAATATTGCAAGTAATCTAAACATAGTAACGCTCTTTCTTTAGACATCTTTGAGTCTTTGTAAAATTCCAAGTTAAATGATACGTATAAAATTGTACTCTGTTCTATATTATTTAATTATTCACAGCAGAATAAAAATCTTCCTGTCAATAATAATTTGTGCTATCGACAAGACACTGATACCAGCCTACGTTTTATATTGTAAAATCACTTTTTGTACCACCCTTTTTCGACACCAATTCTATACCATATATTTGCATTGTGCCAGGACTAGCTGCGTATTTACACATATCATAGATTGTCAGAGCCGCTATACTCACAGCGGTTAAAGCTTCCATTTCGACCCCGGTTTTGCCGATACATCTGACCTCCGATGTGATTTCGACTCTGTGCGATTCCTCGTTCAATTTTAAGCATACGTTTACATAAGACAAGGAAAGCGGATGACACAGAGGTATCAGATCAGAAGTACGTTTCGCTGCCATAATACCAGCCAATTGAGCCACTGATAACACATCGCCCTTCTTTACATTGTTTTCCGCGATTAAATTACTGATGACAGGACCAATCCTCACGAATCCCCTTGCTATCGCTACGCGTTTACTATCATTTTTTAATCCAACATCCACCATATTCGCTTTACCGGTCTCGTCTATGTGTGATAATGATGAATACATTCTAATACTTGCATTACTTTTAAGATACTTAGAAATGTATGGAAAATATTTGTACTGCATTGATATGATATTACTCATTTTGCAGGGAAATTTCTCCTTACGATTTGCTGCAACGTAAATATGTTGTAAAATTAATTCTAAAAGATATTGTTAACATAATATAGTTAACAATTTGCGATAATGTCTGTGCACGTTTCGACAAATCCGAACATATTTTAATAATTAATTATAACGATCAATTAACCTCCAATTAGTATCATTGGCCTATTTTCCATTTGAGTAAGATTGAACATCCCTGAAACAGCAGAGATAAATTCGGTTTGTCGATACTGCTACAGTTTATTTAAAATAAATAGAGAGGAAAAAATACTTGGAAAAAATAATATATAATAATAATATATA